CTCCCTTCCCCTGCCTTTGATCCCTTTACCTTCCTCCCCACTTTTCTACTAATTTCTTCTCATTCATCCTCTCTTTTCCCTTCCCTACCTCCCACCCTGATCCCTAGTCTCTTCCTTTGCTCTCTCCCTCACTGTTTCCCTTTCTGGCTCACATCCTTCCCTACTCACTTGCTCCCTTGTTCCCTTGCTCCTCCTTCTCCCTGCTTCCTCCCTGCTCCCTCTCTGATAGCTCCCTCTCTTGCTTGCTTCCTTAATCATTCTCTCCCACCCACTCTTGCTTGCTCCCTTCCATCCTCCTTCCCTCCCTTGCTCCCTAGCCGCCTCCTTCCCTTTCTCCCTCTCTCCCTTCCTCTTCCCTCACACTCTCCCTTACTCCCTCCCTTACTGCTTCCCTCTCTGGCTCATTTCCTCTCCTGCTCATTCACTCCCTAGTTCTTTCCATTTTTCCCCCTCCCTCTGTCTTCTTCCCTCTTTCTCTCCCTCCTTCCCTTCTTCCTCTCTCTCCTCTTCCCTTTCCCTGCCTAGGACCATCCTTATGGCTTGAGTAAATACTTTTTGCCTCAGCCTCAAGGGGGTTAGAAATGCAACTGGGATCCCTAGAGAGCAGAAGGGAGGAAGAGAGTATGAGGAACCCTTCTTAGCAAATCTTGGAACCAGTAGCACCTCTCTTCTGGTTGCCAGGATAAAGGGTCCCATTAAGTTTTTTAGAGAAGGTGTGTCTTCTTACAAGATTGAGAAGTACAGAAAAACTTTTGCAAGGAGGTGTGGAGATGGTATGAGAAGAGAGGAAGGAGCCAGTGGTGAATAGAGCAATGGGAGAGAAAGTTTCTTGCTCTGGTCTTATACTATGTTGCTGTATGAACTTGTAGAGAGTTACTTCCTCTCTCTGGTCCTCAATTTCCTTGTCTAAAAACCCAGAGTATTGGTCCAGTTTGTGATCTGAAAATATAGAGAGAAAGGTGTGGGAAGAAGGCTTGGGTGGGTAGGCAGATTCAGGGGTTTTCCTGCCTCCCAGTCCTCTCCCCAAAACCAAAGTTCAACCTACAGAGGGCAGGGCACAGGAAGGTGCTCTCAGACCGGGATACTTACCCTTGGCCTGGCCTGGATCTTCCCAGTCTAGCCGCAGTGCACATCTTCCCACCCTCTGCAGTCCTCAGTCTTGGCTTGGCTACCTCTGTGCCTGGCTGCCTTTTTCTCATTGCTTGTTACCCCTGTGGTACCCTTCCCAAACATTCCTATCTATTCTTTAGACTAGGACACAAAGTGAGGGCTTATTTCCCATCTGTAGTTCCCTTTTTTGTGGTCTCCTTTCCTCCTTTTCCCAGAGCAGGCCATAGATTTCCAATTCCTGGCTCTCATTAGAAGAGAGATCATTGATCTCAATCCTTGTGCCACATCATGTGCTTTTTTTAATGCTGTAAGAATCCACCCCAAGAGGCCCCATCCTTTCTCCAGTGGTGCAGTTTTGAGGCTTATCTCTGCTGTGTCTCTGAATTTGTTTTTCAGATGGGCCACTAAAATCAACCAGAGGCTGACTCTAAGCTAACTTGAAGGTCTATGTCAGAAAATGTTATCGCCTCCTTTCCTTCATCCTTCTCCCCCTCTGCTTTTCATCTCCAAGCAGAGAGGAGCAGACTGTCTTTGCCTGGTTGTGACTGCCTCTCCTCTCCACCTGTAGGAACCCTACCCACCTTGTCTGGATGAGTTCCTGTACATCTGTGATGATATGTATCAACGAGATGAGATGCTTGCCATGGAAATCAGCATCCTACAGACCCTCAAATTTGATATCAACATTCCCACCGCCTATCATTTTCTGCGTAGATATGCTATGGTAAGATAGAGGAGGCATATCTCCGTTCTCCCACTGCTGGGTTAGTTCCCTCCAAACCCAGAGAGGCTGCCTGATGGTAGGTAAAGGGAAAGGGACAACTAGGGGCAGGGGAGTTTCTTCTTCAATCCACCCTCTTAGACTGGCAATCTTTAAGTGTGGAAGGAAGAACATTTCAGATTTTCACAGTATACTTATAAAGTTTTGAGATGAGAGCAAAGTAGGGGAGGGAGGGAAGATTCTTTGATCAGAAAGGGACACATGGGAATTTTGGGGGAGATGCTGGCAAAATTCTCTTCCTTCACCTGAGTATTGGTTACAGGGGTGGTCACTTTATAATTATTCACTGTATTCTATAAGTAGGTGTTGTGTACTTTTTCTATGTGTGTTATAGGTTATAATTTTTAAAAAAGATACAAACAAGAAAGAGGAAGGAGTTCTTTTGGATCATGGAACACTTCTTAAGGTGGAACCAGGTGCAAAGTTATAGTTAGAGGGCTTTGGCTCTTCAAAGGATGACTCATGCAGAAAGGAGAGGTGGGAAGTTAACACAAACACACTTTATAATTTGGTTAAAAACTTTAAAGGTAGCTAATTTCATTGGTAATTTCAGAACCTTACTCCCTCCCCTCCACCTTAAGCTTTCTGGAGTAAGATGCCTTAGTGTGAGTCATGGTGGCAGGAGAGATACATTGTTCAGGCAGCAAGCCATTTAGATATTCTGCTTGGTGCTGGTTTTCTGAATTGCTTGCTGAGCTATTCTTGCTGTCCTTAGTGTATCCATGCCAGCATGAAGACACTGACCTTGTCCCGCTTCATCTGTGAGATGACCCTGCTGGAATACGACTATATCCAAGAGAGAGCTTCCAAGCTAGCTGCTGGCTCCTTCCTCCTGGCCCTCTACATGCAGAAGCTTGGACACTGGGTAAACACTTGCCCCGGGGGAGGGAGAAAAGGGGTAGGGATTCAGAGACCTTTGGTGCTGAGAAACCCACTTTATGCTAAGGCATTGGAAGTTTTTTAGCCAGAGATGTGACATAATCCCTTTAGTGTGTTTTGGAAACAGTATTGATATAGCAGTATAGAAGGTATACTAGATGAAAGTGTAAAAGTGGCAACACTAGCAAGTAAGCTTTGATAATAGTCAAGGGGCCTACATTGGGGCCTGAATCTATGTTGTGACAATGGGGCCATTAATCTTATTTAACACACCAAATATAATGTGTTACTCCCCTGCTCAGCATGCCAATGACTGTCCTTTGACTGTGGTAGTGGTTTCCAAATAGTATTCAGTAGAGCCCTGGAGTTTCTGCAGAAATGTCTCAGGGGCCATATAAAAGGTCCCTGAGGGTGGGCTTCTTAGCCCTCACCCCCTAATTCCAAGTAAGATGTTTGGGCTTCCAGGTAAGATATTTTTAAAAAAGAGTTCAGAGAAAATAGTTTAAGGTATTTTTAGAAAACCACTACCTTATAGAGCATTCCTTTCTCTGCCTGTGGAGTTCCCAGTTGACTTTCAACACTCATTGCAGATGTGCCCTTCTCTATGAAGCTTTCTGTGTCTCTCCTGGCCAAAGTTCATGGGTTCTGCTGCCCTGTTCCTCCAGTGCCCCATAATCACTTCCATCATAGAACTTCTCACACATTTTGTAATTCTCTGTGTGCATATCTGTTTCCCCCACTAGACTACAGACTCCTTAAGGGCAGGAGCTTTAGTCATCTTTATATTCCCAGCATCTTCTTCAGGGATTGGTAATATTGTTAATCCTAGCTAGCATTTTTTTTTAGGCAATTACTATGTGCTATATTCTGTTCTATGCACTTTGTATATATTAACTAATGTAATCCTATAATGTAATTACTGTTATGATCTCCATTTGGCAGATTGAGAAGCTGAGGCACCAAGAGGTTAAATAACTGGTTCAAGGCCATGCTACTTGCCTCCAGAATCTTTGCTCTTTAATACTCTGCCATATTGCTTCTATCACATAATAGGCATATTTAAAGTTGAATGATAAAATGAATGCATAGAATGATAACTGTTAGAGTCAGAGAGGAAGAACAGCATTAAGTTCCTGTTGGCTGTTGAGTTAGGACCTCATGTTTGTTCTGAGGTTTGCCTGGCCATTGGCTCTTGATCTGAGAGTGAGTAAATTATAAAGTCAGTCCTGTTCCTTAGATTCTTCGGTGGTGGATTTCAGCATACCTGAATACCTATGGCCAGGGCTAATATTCAATTCATATATATGGATATAGTATCCATATGTATGGATGCCACTAGTTTGTGGCAGGAATCTATTCTTTTAGGTAGTACCCTATAATTATTGGTCTGTCTCCGTGCCGTATGACTCTTTGAAATGTTTCATTATCTTCCCTTTCTATACCATGGATAAGAAGTTTGGATTTGAGATAGTACAGATGGAAGAAGGGGCTGCTTCCTGTTGTAAAAGTCACTGTTTGTGTTGCTTCTTCCAGGCTCCTACCCTGGAGTATTACAGTGGCTACAAGACCTCTGATATTCACCCTTTGGTCAAGCAGCTGAACATCCTGCTGACTTTGCGTTCTTGCGATAGGTTCAAGACTGTGCTTTCCAAGTATTCTCATGAGTAAGTACCGGGCTCCAGTTGAGGTTCGGTTTGTGCTCAATCATGGAAAGGCCCAGACTAGCTTCACTTGAGGGAAAAGAAATATTGAGGTTCTTTTCACTTTACTTTCTATTCCATGGTTGAAGCAAGATAGGGAACCAAGGGCCCTATGTCCCACTTATTCCATGGAACTTCCTTGTTTGGGCCTATTTTACACTGAGTGGACAACTCTTCCTTTTACAGGGTCTTCTTTGAAGTCACCAGAATCCCCCCCTTGGACATGCTGAAGCTGGAGGAGATTTTGAACTCTTGCTAATTCTGAGACTGAGGGTTTGGAACTCTGGCAGCAGCTACCAGGGCCAGGCAGACATGTAAATAGTCTGTATTTATTCTGTCCTTGAATTTGTCTTTTGATCACTTTTGATCACTTTTCATCATTTCTGCTTTCTTTGTTTGATTTTTCTCAAACTGTTAGTGTCATAATTATTTAAGTTTTTTTTATGAAAGAGAAGAAATTATTGTAGTATTTGTTTTGAAATTTAATAAAAAATTAATATTTGTTGTTAAAATGGCTCAACTCCCCTCTTCTTGATTAGGAGCCCCATACATAGCCCAAGGATGTTTTTTTCTCCTGCCTAGTAAAGTCTGTGCCTCAGAGTCTATCTGGTTTCTTTCTCTGTTTGGAGGCTTTCACAGGAAGAGAAAGTAAGCTAGGTGTAAATTGATGGACGAGTCTATAGAAAGAGAATCCTTATGAGTGGGGTGGGGGGGTGCCCAGTCTAGGGAGAGAGACCCCTACCTGACAGACAGGCATGGTGTTCACATCTGGACCCAATACCTTTTGTTTCCTATCTCAGGTTGCTTGCTTTCTTTGCTTCTTCCTAGATGACAAAAAGATGGGGATCAGGATTTTCACCCAAATGTAGTCCTGCTTTCATGGTTAGGCAGCTTTTTAGAATCTAAACTTGAAAAACCTGCTTGGAGTGGCATGCTAAAATCTCTTTTGGCTTTTATCTTCTGTCAAGAGGAGAAATTTCCACCTGTGAAATCAGTGAGATGTGAAATGAACACAAGCATCAACCGCTTGCCCAGTCTTTCATTAATAAAGCTTTAAGGAGATCACACACACACACACACACACACACACACACACACACATCAAATATTTTGGATATCGATCCTAGGGATGGATATCTGATGGCGGGAGCAGTCAATGGAGAAGTTATAGGGAAAATACCTCCCTAATTCTGGCCCCAGACCCCCTGTGCTAGTCTGGTCATATTGCCTTTTTTGATGGACTAGGGACAGGAGAGAGAGCATGTTGCACCCTTAAGATATCTTAATGCTTTCTTACCGTTTGTGTAAATTTCCTACTTAATATCCCAAGTTGCTTTGCCTTGGTGACTAGATATCTTTAGGTTCCCTCTTGCCCCATTCCACTGCTTTGCAAGATGACTAAAGGTTATTAGCAGTCAATTCCTATTCCACCCTATCCTCCCACCCCCAGCCCTAGGCAAACCCTAATTTACTTTCTGTCTCTATAGATTTGCCTATTCTGGACATTTCATATAAATTAAATCATGCAATGTGTAGCCTTATGTGTTTGGCTTTATTCACTTAGCATAATGTTTTCCAGGTTTATTCATGTTATAGCATGTGTCATACTTCATTTCCTTTTATTGCCGTAATATTCTATTGAATGGATATATCACATTTTGTTTATTCACTCATTAATTGATGGGAATTTGGGTTGTTTCTACTTTTTGGCCATTATGAATAATTGTGTTATGAACATTCATTTATAAGTTTTGTATGGACATATATTTCATTTCTCTTATGTATGTACTTAGGAGTAGAATTGCTGGACCATGCACTATTTTACATTCCCACCAGCTGTGTATAAGAGTTCCAGTTTTTCCACATTTTCTCTAATACTTGTAATTATCTTTTAATTATAGCCATCCATGTGGGTGTGAAGTGGTATCTTATTGTGGTTTTGATTTACATTTTCCTGATGGTTAATGATGTTGAGGATTTATTTTCATGTACTTATTTGCCATTTGAGTATTCTCTTTGGAGAAGTATCTATTCAAATTCTTTGCCAATTTGTAATTGGGTCATTTGTCTCTATTATTGAGTGGAAAGAGTTCTTTATATATTTTCATATATATTCATAAATCATATATATGATTTGCAAATATTTTCTTTGATTCTATGGATTTTCTTTTTATTTTCTTGATAAATGTTATTTGAAGCATAAAAGTTTAACATTTTGAAGTCCAATTTATCAGTTTTTTGGATATTTTTGTTTTTGTGTCATATCTAAGAAACCATTGCCTAATCCGAGATCATGAAGATTTGCCCGCATGTCGTATCCTAGTAGTTTTATAGTTTTAGCTCTTATATTTATGCCTTAAATTTATTTTGAATTAATTTTTATATATGATGTGATGTAGGGGTCCAACTTTATTTTCTTGCATGTAGATATCCAGTTGTCCCAGCACCATTCGTTGAAAAAAAATATTAGCACCCCTGTTGAAAATTTATTTACTGTAAATGTGATAGCTCATTTCTAGACTCTCAATTCTATTGCATTTGCCCATATGTCTATCCTTATGCCAGTAACACACCACTTTGATTACTGTAGCTTTTGTAATGAGTTTTGAAATCAAGAAATGTGAAGTCTCCAACTTCATTCCTACTTTTCAAGAGGCTGTTTCAGCTATTCTAGGTTACTCACATTTCTATATGATTTTTAGCATCACCTTGTCAATTTCTAAACAGAAAGCTGGGATTTTGATAGAGATTGCATTGAATTTATAGGTCAATTTGGGGAATGTTGTCATCTTAACCATATTAAATTTTCTAAGCATGTGTTTTGTGTCAGTCTCAGCCTATTGATTACCAGTGTTGTGGCTGGACCAGCCCTTGTATTTCTCATTATGATTGCAAGACACCATCAGCAATGACTGTAAAGAAACTTAGAAAGAGACAAGGTTTATTACTTAGAAGTTCTGGAAATTACACAGCACCTCTGGTTCTAGGTTAACCATTGTGAGAGAGAGAGAGAGAGAGAGAGAGAGAGAGAGAGAGAGAGAGAGAGAGACACACACACACACACACACACAAAAAAAAAAACACACACACCTGAATAACACTACAAAGGATTTGAGAACTGAATTGACTTTGAGCCATCAGCCCACAGAAAGCTGATGGAAACATGTGGCCTGAAAATCATATTGACCACTAAAACAAAAATATAAATGTTTTCCATATACTTTAAGCAACCAGTTTTATAATGTCATATTAAAAATGTTCAGGATATCAATCATATTCACAGTTTAAAGAAGAAAATCACTTATCAATTGATGCAGAAAAAGCATTTGACAAAATTTAACATTCATTCATGATAAAAAACTTTTAGTAAAGTAGAAGTAAACTTTCTTGAATTGATTAAAAAACTATTAAAATACTGACATTATATCATCCTTAATATTGAATTTGAGAACTGAATTGACTTTGAGCCATCAGCCCACAGAAAGCTGATGGAAACATGTGGCCTGAAAATCATATTGACCACTAAAACAAAAATATAAATGTTTTCCATATACTTTAAGCAACCAGTTTTATAATGTCATATTAAAAATGTTCAGGATATCAATCATATTCACAGTTTAAAGAAGAAAATCACTTATCAATTGATGCAGAAAAAGCATTTGACAAAATTTAACATTCATCCATAATACAAATGATTAAGAATAGATGAAAACTTCCTCAACCTGGTAAAGACCATCTCCAAAAATCTACACGTAACATCATACTTGATGAAAGACTGAATACTTTGCTCTATGATTAGGAACAAGGCAAGGATGTCTACTTTCATCAGTCCTGTTAACATTATACTAGAAGTCTTATCCAGTACAATGAGACAAAAAGAAAAAGAATACACGCTGCAAAGGAAGAAATAGAACTGACATTTTTTTGCAGATTTCATGATTATATGTGTAGAAAATCTCAAAGAATCTACAACAAAACTAGAACTAATACGTTTGTTTAGCCAGGTCCAAAACACGAGATCAACACACAAAACATCAATTACATTTCTATTTCCTAGCAATGCACAAGGAAATCCAAACTTTAAAGTACCATTTATAATAGCTCCCCAGAATGAAATGCTTATGTATAAATCTAATAAAACATTTATAAAATCTGGTGGAAACTACAAAATGCTGATAAAATAAATCATATAAATTGAGAGACATTATGTTCATGGAATGGAAATGTCAACTGAGTAAAGATGTCAATTCTCAAATTGATCTGTGTATTATTTAACTCAATACTAGTCAAAATTCCAGCAGGATTTATTTTGTAGATATTGACAAACTGATTCTGAAATTTGCCTGGGCAAATGAGCTAAAATAGCTAAGACCATTCTGAAAAAGAATAAAGTTGGAGGAATCACGCCACCCAATTTGAAGATTTACTATAAAGCTACAGTAATGAATATGGTGTGGTAGTGGGGAGAAGACAGACACAGAAAACAGGGTAACAGAATAGAGAGTCCAGAAATAGACCTGCACAATTATGGCTATTTGATTTTGGAGAAAGGTGCAAAAACAATTCAGTGGTAAAAGCAGTCATTTCAATACATGGTGTTGGAACAGTTGGACATCTATATGCCAAAAAATGAATCTTCATCTAAACCTCATTTGTTATACAAAAAATAATTTTAAATGAATCATAGATCTAAAATTAAAACATAAACTGTAAAACGTTTAGATGTCAACATAGAGGAAATCTTTGTGACCTGGGGTTAAATCAGGGTTTCTGAGCAGCAGCACTATTGACATTTTGGGCGAGATAATTCTTTGTCGTGGGAACTTTACTGTGAATTGTAGGATATTTAGCAGCATCCCTGATCTTTGCCCATTATATACCAGTAGCATGTCCCCCGTCCCAAACTGTGACAACCAAAAATGTGTCCAGATATTGTTCAGTGTTCCCAGTGGGTAAAGTGACCAGTGGTTGAAAAACGCTGAGTTAGAGGAAGAATTCTTCGATATGGCACAAAAAGCACAATCCATAGAAGGAAAAATGATGAATTGTTCTTTATAAAATGTAAAACTTTTCCTCTGAAAGATATTAAGAGAATGAAAATATAAACTACAGACTGGCAGAAGATATTTGTAAGTTACATATCTGGCACAGAACTTGGATTCAGGATATATAAAGAATTCTGAAAACTCGACGATGAGTGAATTTAAAACCCAATTAGAAAAAAGGGAAAAGAATTTGAACAGATAATTTACCAAAGAGGATTTACGTATAATAAATAAGCACATAAAAAGGTGTTAAACATTATTAGCTATTAGGGAAATGCTATGATGAGATGCCATTAAACATCTATTAGAATGGCTAAAATAAAAATTAATGAATTCCAAGAGCTGGTGAGGATGTGGAGCAAGTGGAGCTCTAGATATTGCTGGTTTGGATGCAAAATGGTACA